CTGTGCGAAAAAAGTTTTGCGATTCACTGAAACCAAAAGCGGTGACCGAAACCAAATGCCAACACTATTTAGGCCAGTATTGCGCGGGCGGTAACGGCAACTGGTCTGGTGTTGTCGACTGGCCACCTGTCAAAGGGGTCTCTGTCCGCTCGTTTAGCGCACACAATGACAGCACTTCCCGATCACCGGTGCTGTCAAACGGCTCACTCAAGAACTCGTCGGTTAGGTTTGTGGCACTCATTCTGTCGGTCATTGGAGTCAAGAATATTCTTCGCTAACCAATGATTAGTAATCATTGATTTCTATTTAAATATATTGTCTTATTTTTACATTGATTTTCATTCAACTAAATTCATAGCTTTGTTTACACTTAAAAAACAATTAGATTTTTATATTAAAATGAATCAATTATTTATTGTCAAATTACGTAATTAGACAATAGTTATAAATAAACTTAGGATAAATAGTCCCTAAAAATATTTTAATTGTTGTATTTTACAGAAACTGCGAGACTAGTGTTCGTTAAATACCCAACAATAAACCCGCTTTTCATTCGGTACTCGAATAACGGAAATTGTTTTATATTAAAACCAGTTGATTACAAAAAACCGGTATTCGGGTATTGAATAAAAAGCGGGTTTATTGTTGGGTATTTAACGAACACTAGTCTCGCAGTTTCTGTAAAATACAACAATTAAAATATTTTTAGGGACTATTTATCCTAATTAATAATTATAAATATAATTGTAAATATTAGCAATAATTATGAATTAGATCCAAATATAATGGCAAACAATATAGCAAATTGAATAAACAAGGTGACTTTCAATTTGTTGATTATTTATATTTATTGTTTATGTTAAACGAGACAACAATCACAGTGTAATCTTCAAACTTACAAAGATTAGATAAATTCAACATGTCTATAAGTTTACTATTAGTACATAAGTCACTTATTATAGCTACTTATTTTGAAAGTTCTTTTTCATATTATTACCGATTGATCCTTTTATAGCCATTTTATGTAGGAATATATTTGTATTCTTATAATGAACTTGATAATTAGCAAGCTCAAGGATACTTGTTGTTTGCTGGACATTTAGCATGGAGTTGATGAATGTTATATTGCACTAACAATCTATTCAACAATCTAATAATATAAGCACTTCTAAATATGAGTGCAACTAAAGCTTTGGAAACCACATCTTGCTTGTTAGAGCTATACAATGTATTTATTAAACATGACTTGTATTAGAATTACAGTTATATCTCATCAAATAAATGGCATTAATTTATTGAATTACTGTATTTAATCAAATTAATAACATTTTGTATATCATTCACAATACTATACAATATATTGTAATTTACTATTAATAGATTGTAATAGATTAAGATTAATTTGAAACAATTGTTAAGTAACGAGATTTTAATTCAACACTTTTATAATTTAGTATTAATAAAATGTTGTCATTTGTTTGACTTCTCCTTCAATTGATATTTTAACATATTTTGTCCCACTTTTGCACAATAGGCTTATTGTTTGTATACGGTATTTGTTAAGATATTTTAAGGCTTATTAGTAATAATAAGTTATTACCCTAAAGTTCCATGCATTACCCTCGGGTTATCTATTATAATATTTGGAAAGTTCTTATGTGCGGTATATCACTGGGGTGGATTATGTATTGCTTAATACATGTAGAATATCACATAATAATATATGATATATAATATCACATCATAATATTCACATACAAATTTATGAGGTGCGATATAAGAATAAGAAATTATATAATTTATATGCAATATAAGAAATTTAATTTGACACTCAATTAATCATCAAATAGTCAAATCAATATTTTGTTAAATACATTATTTATTTCTCATTTAGAATTAAAATTTACTGCAAAATTAATGATGAATTGTTTTAAAGATATTTTAGTTTTAGTTATCCATTTATCCAGATTGATTTGTTTTTTGAATGCATTAAAAAATTTGCAATTTAAAACAATTAGTAAAATAAAAATTGAATGTTTAGGACGACGACCAATCATGGAATACAACGCGTCCGGAATTCTCTCAGTAATGATAATAAATATATAACTTTAAATGTGAGTGCAATTAAATAAACTCTATTTAACAGATGCTTTCGTCAAACGGTATTAATATGGATACCGTCGGCATTCCTGTGGCTTTTTGCGCCCATGGAGTGCATTATAATCGCCCGATCGAAGGCTCGACTCATACCGTGGAATATATATAACATGTCAAGAATTATATCCGTAGCCATCATATGTCTGTTTGCATTACTCGACTGTCTATTCTGTATATACCTGTATGGCGTACACGACGAACAACGCGACGCTTTCCAATTTGCCGCCCCTTTTGTCACTTTTGCTACTTTTGTAAGTTTTATTCTAAAAAACACTTTAAAAATATCTAATTTTAATTTTACTATATTTTTAGTTATTACTCGAAGTATTACTAGTATTTCATCGATGGAGGGGAATACACACGAGTGGAGTGGTTTGGCTTTTCCTGTTAATAGCAGTGGTGTGCAGTTCACCCACTTTTTACAGCTATTCC